GCCCAGCCCACAGCCTCAGCCGGCCGGGCAATCTAGGCGAGGCCGGAGGCTCTGCACGGGACTAGGCCTTGTCACAGCAATCTGTCAGGTGAGTACTTTGTGCTATAGAGTCGATATATACTGCTGCTAGCGGGGAAATATATTTAAAAACGTCTGAAAACTTAAAAACATAACATACAAATGAAAAGATAACGCATTAATTTAAAATAAACCCCGAGCGGGCTAAGAATCGATTCTTTAAATCGCGCAAAGAAATCGAAGGTTGTAGATTACTTTAGAATCGTCTTGAAGCGACGACGCGCAACAGACAGACCCTGGATAAACCAGCAAATCTTGATAAAAAATAGTATTACAACGCTGTGTGCTCGAATCCCTGTGTGATGCAAGTCAAACAATACCAACCATAAGATAGATTAACCATATGTTTTCTAAATCACCAAAAAAGCTTAAAAAACAATGTAACAGTAATCATAGGAAGTGTGATTCTCATTTAACAATAACCGATATACATAACATGTACGACTAAACTTGCAGCCATAGCTGGCAGCATGACATTCCCAGTGTATGATGTGTGAGTGAGTCAGTGGTAGTGTGAGTGAGTGTATGATGTGTGAGTCAGCGTATGATGCGTGAGTCAGTGTATGATGTGTGAGAGTCAGTGGTAGTGTGAGTAAGTGTATGATGTGTGAGTCAGCGTATGATGAGTGAGTCAGTGTATGATGTGTGACTGAGTCAGTGGTAGTGTGAGTGAGTGTATGATGTGTGAGTGAGTCAACGTGTGATGAGTGAGTGTATGATGAGTGAATTAGTGTATGATGAGTGAATGGTTCAGTGGTTGTGTGAGTGAGTGTATGATGCGTGAGTGAGTCAGTGGTAGTGTGAGTGAGTGTATGATGTGTGAGTGAGTCAACGTGTGATGAGTGAGTGTATGTTGAGTGAATTGTTCAGTGGTTGTGTGAGTGAGTGTATGATGTGTGAGTGAGTCAGCGTATGATGAGTGAGTCAGCTTATGATGAGTGAGTGTATGATGAGTGAATTAGTGTATGATGAGTGAATGGATCAGTGGTTGTGTGAGTGAGTGTATGATGTGTGAGTGAGTCAGCGTATGATGAGTGAGTCAGCGTATGATGAGTGAGCATATGATGAGTGAATGGGTCAGTGGTTGTGTGAGTGAGTGTATGATAATATAAGTTGGTTGCATGTCGGCAAGTATGCTAAATATTTCGAACAGACACATTCACAAATTTTCCTTTCATATATAAGATAGATAGAGTCAGCATGTACTACTGTAGTGAAAGCTGTAATCATAGCAGGAACCACCATAGTCAGTATGCACTGCTGTAATCATAGCAGGATACCACCACAGTCAGTATGCACTGCTGTAATAATAGCAGGTACCACCACAGTCAGTATGCACTGCTGTAATCATAGCAGGAACCACCACAGTCAATATGCACTGCTGTAATAGCAGGTACCACCACAATATGCACTGCTGTTATCAAAGCAGTTACCACCACAGCAGTATGCAATGCTGTAGTGAAAGCAGGTACCACCACAATATGTACTGCTGTAATCATAGCAGGTACCACCACAGTCAGTATGCACTGCTGTAATAGCAGGTTCCACCACCGTCAGTTTACACTGCTGTAGTGAAAGCAGTTACCACCACAGTAAGTATGCACAGCTGTAGTCATAGCAGGTACCACCACAGTCAGTATCCACTGCTGTAATCATAGCAGGTATCAACAGTCAGTATGCACTGTTGTAATCATAGCAGGTATCAACAGTCAGTATGCACTGGTGTAATCATAGCAGGTACCACCACAATCAGTATGCACTGCTGTAGTCATAGCAGGATACCACCACAGTCAGCATGGACTGCTGTAGTCATAGCATGATACCACCACAGTCAGCATGCAATGCTATAGTCATAGCAGGATACCACCACAGTCAGCATGCAATGCTGTAATAATAGCAGGTACCACCACAGTCACTATACACTGCTGTAATCATAGCAGGTACCACCACAGTCAGTATGCACTGCTGTAATAGGTTCCACCACAGTCAGTATGCACAGCTGTAGTCATAGGATACCACCACAGTCAGTATCCACTGCTGTAATCATAGCAGGTACCACCACAATCAGTATGCACTGCTTTAATGATAGGTCCCACCACAGTCAGTATGCACTGCTGTAATCATAGCAGGTACCACCACAATTAGTATGCACTGCTGTAGTGATAGCAGGTACCACCACAGTGAGTATGCACTGGTCTAGGGAATGCATGTCCCACTAAAAGTAGGTATGCACTGCTGTAGTGATAGCAGGTACCACCACAGTCAGCATGCACTGGTATAGGGAAAGCATGTCCCACCACAGTCAGTATGCACTGGTGTAGTTATAGCAGGTACCACCACAGTCAGTATGCACTGCTGCAATCATAGCAGGTCCCACCAAAAGTAGGTATGCACTGCTGTAGTCATAGCAGGTACCACCACAGTCAGTATGCACTGCTGTAATCATAGGTACCACCATAGTGGGTATGCACTGCTGTAATCATAGCAGATACCACCACAATATGCACTGCTGCAATCATAGCAGGTCCCACCACAGGCAGTATGCACTGCTGTAGTCATAGTAGATACTGCTATTCAGTTGGTAGATCATGCTATATAGAGTTAGTAGATACTAAAACAGTCAGTAGATACTACTATGGTCCGTAGCTACTGATATAGAGTCAGTAGATACTGCTATACAGTCAGTAGATACTGTTATAGAGTTAGTAGTTACGACTATAGTCAGTGGATGCTACTATAGAGTCAGCAGATACTACTATAGAGTTAGTTGTTACTACTATAGAGTCGGTAGATACTACTGTAGGGCCAGTAGATACGACTATGGTCAGTCGTTACTGCTAGTCAGTAAATACTACTACACAGTCAGTAGCTACTACTGGCTCAGTAGATACTACTGTACAGTCAGCAGATACAACTACCGAGTCAATAGATACTACTTCCTCTGCTGTATGTAGGGGGTGTAGGTGTATATCCCTACGCGGGGGTAAAGATATTTTTTGAGCGGGGGGGTCGACAATTTTCAGAAACCTTTAACATCAACTATTTACCCCACTCTTTCTAGAACTTTTTGGACTTGTGCAAGCCTCTTATAATTTTGTTGGTGGAGAAATGGAAAAAACGGCCCACCGGGCTTTCACAGTACCTTAGTATCTGTGTACGTATATGTAAGGTTTTTAAGAGAAGTTTGGAAATATATTTTTTACCCGGACAACACTGGGTACTTACCACTAGTGTTATATGAAATATACAACAGGTGGCAGAACTTCATTGAATTAAATGAAAGCTGTAAGTATATAGAAATGCTGTTATTTTTTTATTTCCAGGGCATGAAGGCCTGGCTGTCACGCTCAATTCCGAAATAATGCTACAAAATAAATACTACAAGCAGAGAGTGTACGGCATCACAATATCACCACGAAATCCAACATAAATATTTTAATTTGTCAGCGTGATACGGTGCTCCAGAGGTCAAACAGGTCAAACATATCCCATTTTATACAGTTCACGTGTTCAAAGCAACGTGTCGTTTAATAGAACAATAGTGGAGATCGCTGGATGCACGAAGGGGTTCATATCTATTACGGAACTTGACTAGCAAGGCTCAAAACCTTGGTTTGAAATTGAGAAGCCACCCATGATTAAACCAGGTCCTCAAGTTTAGTGCGGTGGTGGTCTCGGCCTGGTCACCAATAACTGCACATAAACCATCATATATATGTTTTAAAATGTAAACATGTCCAGCTGAAATCCAATGACTATAATTTGTAAATATATGACGTACTTTACATGCAGCAAAACATTCTTTAGATAATTTATTACGTGCTGCCAGGGCGAATGGTGCATAATAAAATTACAAATAAGCAGACAATGGTCTGTGTCAGTATGTAAAAAGAACATAACATGTACGTCCGGCAGCTTATGGGTCTTCTGGACAAATGCTTTACCGCAGAATTTGTTTACGCGTATCTATTATTTATACAATCGGATAACCCAGTTGTAAATCGTGCCCTTGTGCTACTCGCTCATTACAACAAGTCATATATTCTGTTCATATTTCTATTTTGCCAAGAAAAAAATGTTCACCCATTGGGGTTACCTTTCTTTAATATTACTAAGCCCCAAGTCTACATGTTGGCATTTGAATTATATACTAAAAATCTTCAAATTAATGCCAATCATATTCGGGTGATTGTGTATTTGAATTGATAAAATTAATCTACAGTATTTGCAAGCAATGATTGCTGACACAGAAAAGCCAATGGACTACATCATGCTCCTGGCCAGTATTTAGGACATCAGGAACACAGAAAAGCCCTGTTTCATTATCCGTGTTTGACATTATACAACTATTTTGGATATCTCCTTTTGCATTTACTTGGCTTGATGTGGAGTTTGCCAAGCCTTAAAAAAATAAACTCAACAGCTCACATCAGTGTAACATAGCCGTAATGTCCTCAAATGAACGTTAAATAGCACTCATGTGATTTGAAAAGCAGTGTGCCCTGCCGCACATTATCTGGGATACGAATAAAGTAAAGATTTGTATTTTACCAGGTAAGGCCCAATGAGCTATGTTGCTCTTTTTTCAGAAACGACCTGGCCTCAAAAGATAGCTCAACGAAGTGGCTTATCGCGTGAAAATGGATAGCTTGCCAAATACTCTAAAAGCGTGTTTCTAAATGTGTAGGGAAAAACCGGAGGACCCGGAGAAAAACCCACACGACCACAGGGAGAACATGCAAACTACAAATATGCAGCAGGCGTCTGGGTCGGGATCGAACCCACAACCTCCTGTAAAGCAGGAGAGGGGGTTAACATCTCGCCACCGCGGTGCCCAGATAACATTGCACGTCTTCTGAGCCTTGCCTTGCCTCCCACCAAGAAGTAGTAATGGCCTAAGCGTGAGTGTAGAGCAAGCTTACATTCGGCCGAAGCTGGGCTGCTTGCCGGTAATACTTCTCTGCGGCGTGGTTCAGTCCTGCTTGCCTGTTTGTAGAGAAAACAAAAATGCAGCATGTGAGTTTTTTTCCTGAAAATGCAATTCAGCAGCTTTGAATGATTCTCGGTATTATATGTGGAAAATGTATACTGTGTTCACAGGATTACACTGACTTCCATCTCAAAGCAAAATAGTTTTTTTTTTTCTAAAATGAGCACGGGCCAGTGCTCGCCACAGTCGACATCCCAGCATCAATGGCAGAAATTCCACATTCCTACTGTTGGAACCTGTCTATTTAAAGAACACCTGTTCGCCATAATAACATGCATTATTTATTATGTGCTATTATTTTTTAATGTGGCAGTGTACGATAATACAAAAACATCTAAACACGAAAACAAATGTAGTTTAGAAATGATTCGCTTTCATTGTTCTGAAATTTTCTAAGCACAGCACTTGCTATTCAGTTGCATGTTATTAAGCACACATACACACAGGATTTTCTTGGTGTATTATAATAACCCCCAATGAAGCACAGGAAATGAAAGAGTTTAATAAATGCAAGGGAGAGGAACAGTCTTCAAATGCACCAACTACAAGAGGGAACATGATTAGTATGTGATTTATTACCAAGTGTGACTGCAACATAAATGTATTCCAACAAGCAATCGCCAAGTCCCACATGACACATTGCAGCAACATAAATGTATTCCAACAAGCAATCGCCAAGTCCCACATGACACATTGCAGAACACCCCAATTATGCACCAGCACGTTCCCTTGAGCCACGTTACAGAAAGGAGCATCGTTTCCAGGCTGGGGTAACAGGAGCACATGCGTTTATATTCAAGTTAAAAGCCTCACTGTCTACCCCTGTCAGTTCAAGCGCAGAAAGATTGCATTCAAATGAATGGAAGTCACCATTGTGGAAATCCCACACTTTGTTAAGGTGCTTTAATGCATTGCAGCACAGGTTTCTTTAATTGAATAAATGATTTAGAAACATTACTCAACAGACAGGCACTACAGGTCAGCTCACTTGGTCTATTCCAAGGTCACGACAGGCAATTGGGAGCCTTTACACCTGTCGTACAACTCCACCTGTTTAAGTGCGTAACCGTGCAGTCATATCACTGGACCACGTGCTGCCTCGCCCATGGAAGTGCATTTACAAATTAAAACAGAATGAAACGCCGCGAATGTTATTCTGGAGCATATGTTTAGTGTGGCTATTTTCTGCAGTTAATAAATTGTCGACTGGTAAGCTGTACATGCCTCCGGGTCGGTGTGCATGGTGCAAACAGTTGAATTTCAATGTACAGCCAATAATTTCCATGGAGGATTGCTGAAATATGACATCGATTACAAAGTGGATTTTAATGGAGATAAGACGCAATTCACAAGTGTGGGACAGTCGGCGCTTCATCCCACATAGCCCAAGTAAATAAATTACATATTTACGCAGAAATAATTCATACGTAAGTAAATGTCCCTTGCATAATCCATAAATCATTAATCTGCGGTTGTACATGGTGAAATACATTGTAGGGAAATTAGTTTCCAACACATACGCTGTTGACTAGTTTTCCTACATATTCTGAATATCCTCGTGGAAACTTTAAGTACCCCTTTACAAAGCAGTGTTATGTCCCCATGATACAAAAAAAACGCATTCTCAAAGTGAACTTTACTGCGAATTTAAAAATAAAATGACCCGAGACTCAGCTCTTTAGAAATGGATCATCCACTTAAACCGTCACATTCAGACAAGTTGTTACATCGCCAAATTTGTGTGATCAGATTTAAAATCTCATACACATTGTGAGCCTTTTGACTTACATAAGGCATGGTAAAAAGAAGATATGAAGATTTTTTTTAATACGTATTTGGCACGCAGTGGCCTATAATTGCAAGGTATGGCACAGGGTATTAACGTCCACTTTGTATCAAACAGAAAACTTTAGCAATTCCACATTGAAGTGGGTATAAATTTTAGTAGACCACTTGATGCAGAATTGGAAGGCTGCGAGTTGAAATCAGGGTTGAAGCCCATCGTCACTCTGGAAAATGTAAAGTAGCCATCCTATGGATAGACAGCAGCATTATGAGAAGGCAGATTTGTAAGTACACAAAACAAGGATTGTGGTCTTCCAGTCTAATCTAATTCGCCACTGCAGGATTTTATGGTGAAAATTATCAATTAACTCATGCAACAGATCAATACCACACCACGTGGCTTCGTCTCTGTCAATTGCGCATATTCTATTACTGAAGCTAGTGGCTGAGCTTGCAGAGCCCCCGCCTCACAATCAGAAGGCTGCAAACTCCAATCATCGGGGTCAAATGCAACCCAATGTTCCTTATGGGTCGATAAATGAATACCATGTTTTGGGATGTAAAGACTGGTTACCCAATGCATATTGTCCCCTGCCATCGCAATATATATTACATGCCATAGCAATAGATTTTCCCATCACTGGCTTAGTGCCAACAATCAACAAAACCTACGTTATATTCTTAGCTCTTTCGGTGAAGTCACGTTGAAGGGAAACAATAAAATAATAAAATATATATAAAACAAAAATTCTCACGACGTTTCGACCATAACACAAACGGTCGTCATCAGGTGTGTCGGTTAGCAATTCACACCTGATGACGACCGTTTGTGTTATGGTCGAAACGTCGTGAGAATTTTTATTGTTTCATATATTTTATTGTTTCCCTTCAACGTAACTTTACCGAAAGAGCTAAGAATATGAATTACTGCAGTCACGAAAGCTTTAAATCAAAATAAAACCTACGTTGTTCGTTAACAATGAAGTTGAACGCTGCCAAACGTTTATTTTCGCTTCGAGACAATTTTGACCGGGTTCGTATCTCGACATTGCGGGAAAAACAAATCACCTTTAGAAATTACTGCCCCACTGTTGGCAATATAGACACTGGTGCATAGGTTACCAATGAGTTGACGTTTCCCAATCTGTGACCCAATTGTGTGGGAGTCCCCACCCCACCCCACCCCACTCTCTCACCTGCACATGTGTGCTGTGCTGAAGACGGTCTCAAAGTCGGTGCTGTCCTGCTGCGACGCCTTCTCGGCCACACCCGCCGCCTCCAGGAACCGGGACTGTTCCACCAGAAATTGAGCTGCGCACAAAAGCCCCGCGGGGCGATCCGAGAGGTTCATTGTCTGAGCGCACGCGGAATTCCTTCCCTTGGTAGCAACCTGGGCTTTGGGGAGATCTGGTCCAACAGAGTGGTTTTGATGCCCAATGTAAAGCCGTAACACCCCAGTCTTAAAATATGGGCCACTTGACAACCATACATATATATCACATGCATCAAAGCTGACAGGCTATTTACATGAAGTGCATTTTTTGTAAGAGAAAGCTGGCTATGCCCAGGGATAAACAAACTGCTATTTTATGTTTTTTTGCGTCAGATTCATGTGTTGGCAGAAAGGCACTGTTTGCTGATACTTGGTTGAAAAGAGCAATCAATTGTTGATATTTCCACTGAATTGGCAGTTTCCTGCTGTATATAACTAGAAACTGCCTCCACAATACATCAATCGGGTTCTCTAATGCATTTTAGTTGAAAGTAATTTTCAAATTTGTGCTGCGCTAGCACAACAAAATGGTCTACACCTGTGAATAATGGCACAATCCATAATAGACACTGTGAACCTCGGCTGAATAGCAAGTATGATAACCACTCGGCTATCCATGCCCTCAAATATGAAATACAGAATAATGTCAGTAAAGCAGAAGATAAGGTTAGATTTAGACAACGTACAATGTTGTTACAACTCAACACATTTGTCAGTAACACTGCCTTACAAGAGGAAAATGCAATTGGTCACATTTCGGGCAATGGCTCTTCTTCATAGCACAGATAGGCAAGAGGGATAGCATGTATGTACGTTCAACTTCTTTCACACCGTACGTAGCAAACCGTGCTAATTGGAGGTGCGTAAAGAGTGGATAATGGTGGGAGCATAAACTTAGCACCATGGGGCCTGATGAGAATTACATTTTAAATATGTTTTCTGATGACCAGTTTTGAAATAATCATATGAAGCATTACGTAGTAGTAAGTATTAAATACTGTACAAACCTTTTAATAATCAAAAAGTATAGCTAAGTATATCTTTCAATGCTGTCAAAATGATACTTGGCATTACAAAAAATAAAGTAGCCTTGGAAGGAACAATGTGTACTCTTTGGTTCTTTCGGTAAAGTCACGTAGGTATAAAATAAAATAAATTAAATCACGACGTTTCGATTGCAACACAAGCAATCATCAGGAAATAAGCTGCGTGTAAATCTAGAGGAACAATTTGCTTCAAGGAACAGTAACTGATGTGTAAAACTAGTCGTGGAACACCAGCCAAGTGATGAAACTGTGCATACTAGAGTAACGAAAGAAGGAATAATGAAGGATTCAGAGCACCTGAGATGGTGAAATCTCAGATGAAGGAACGCTTTAACAGATGATGGTTCTCACGATGATGATTGGTGTTCACGTGAATTAAATGAACGTGTTGCTTCTTTAAACAAAAATGATTATTCACTTGTGATTATTCAGTCGAGCACAACACATACTCTATATGTATAAGCTTAACATTAGAATGTTAATTTACACGCAGCTTATTCAGATTTTTTTTATACCGCATTTAGTTTGCCAATTTAGGCACCAAAATAACACAAAGTAATATAACACATGTGGCATAACTGGGGAAGTGTTAAATAGAAAATGCAACAGTTGGAAATGTGTTTGTTCAAAAGGCCTTTTTCTCAACTCATTACGAATCGAGTGAGGGAAGAGGCTGCCTATGGTGAACAGGTGCCATTGGTGGGTCACACCGCATGGAATGCAAAGCACAGTGACTGGGACGTAAGCGCAGTGAGGCTCTCCAAACAAGGACGAGGCGCTGCCAGTGGCAAACAACATGCGTTCATTGGCTTTAGGCGATTAGGCATGGCTCAACATAACATTAATTTGTAGAGTCCTGTGCTACAGGTGGCGTTAAAAAGTACTGAATGCCAAAATCACGTATTTTATTATTCTGAGAGCACGCGCGAGATTCGCGGCTGTGCTACATCGCGCTAAACACGCTAAGCATTACACTGTTGCAGTGAAATTGAAAGCAAGAAAAAAAATGCAGTTTCATTCTATCATCCATGATGGAAACTTTTTATCCATAACCTACTTTCCGCAATAATACATATAATATAATTCATTTATCACGAGGACCGCTCTTATCTGTAAAAAAAAAGCATAGAAAGAAAATCTTCACAGTCCTGTAATCTGTGAATGTTTATCTGCGTTCAATGAACAAGAGTAATGCACGAACTGCCACGGGCTTCAACATGTAATGCACCTTCAAAGCAATTGCGACTAATGTAAAAACCATCACATTTTGCAATGCCAAAACATCGACCCAGCACCAATGTCGAATGAAAAGTGCAGTGTGTGCAATTGCAGCATTGAATACACTAGACCAGTGGTTCTTAACCTTGTTGGAGGTACCGAACCCCACCAGTTTCATATGCGCATTCACCGAACCCCTCTTTAGTGAAAAATAAAATGTGATTTTTTTCAAATTCAAGACATAGATATGTTTTTTACTGGTACACAAAATGAGCCATGCATGAACATTACCTTGTTCAAAGAATAAAACCAACACAATGCATAAACTCACAACAAATTACATACCTGGAAATCAATGTGACTTCTGCTGTTGCCTTTGAGAGATCAGTTCAGATATGCGTGGCTTCACCTTGGCAAGTGCCACTCTCATGTCATTTTCACAGCAAAGTCTGTTCCTTTTCTTCGTTTTTATGTCCAGCATCCTCGAAAAGGATTGCTCACAAAGATATGTTGTAACAAATGGTATAAAAAAAATCCAGGGCTTTCTTAGCAATAACTGGATACTTGTTCATTTGTCGACACCAAAACGTTGAGAGCGTTGTTGTTCTGAAGAGTTGCTGTTGAACCTGGCTCTGCTGAATTTCAATGATTTCGTCGAGGAATTCATCATTGACATCTGCTGTTTCAACAGCAAACGTGAACGGCTGTCTCACCCATGCTGGATATTACTCTCTTGTAGGGAAATATCCGTCGAGAGACTTTGCAAGCTCATCTAAGTGCGTGGCAATTGTTTGCTTCAGTTCCGTGGATACAGAAATATCTCCGATTCCAGACACATCTTCGATCTTACTTGCACAGTCGTCCAGAAGCGGGAAGTTTGCGAAGTTATTGTTCTCTGTTCGTCGTTTCCATAACGGTAGCTTTTTCTGAAAAGCCTTCAGGTGTTCTTCCGCTTCCATGATATTGACTCCACCACCCTGCATCTGCTGATTGAGATGATTGAGAGCTGCGAATATATCAGCCATGTACGCTAAAATGAGAATGAACTCAGGATTTTTGAAGCAATCTGCATGGCAGTGTTGGTGCTCTTGCAAAAACAGGGCTAATTCCACACGCATGGCAAAAACACGATTCAGCACCTGTCCCCGGGATAACCACCGAATATTAGAATGGAGCAGAAGTACCTCAAATTCAGAGCCCATTTCTTTACACAGCTCACTGAAGATGCGGTGCCTCAGAGCACTTTTTCGCACATAGTTCACACATTCCACCACAGTTTTTAATACTTCTGTCATTTTTGGAGGTAAGGTTTTTGTTGCCAACGCATGCCTGTGCAGAATACAATGCGTCACAATGATGTGTGGTGCATCGGCCTTTACTAGCGCACCAAAACCAGACTTTCTTCCCAGCATGACTGGAGCTCCGTCCGTACAAACTGCAGAAACCATATCCCATGAAAGATTGTTGTCTCTGAAGAAGTCATCCACAAGCTTCTTCACATCGGCTGCCTTCGTTGTTGTTGTAAGAGGCTTACAAAATAAAAACTCTTCTTTTATCATGTCGTCTTTCACATAGCGTACAAAAACAGCAAGCTGGCTTAGATCAGAAACGTCTGTGGTTTCGTCGAGTTGAAGGCTGAATTTTGCCGGGCTTGAAATCAGATCCGCGACTACTTGAGCCAAGATGTCTTTACTCATGTCTTCTATTCTGTCACTGACGGTGTCATTTGAAAGGGGAATTTGGGATAATTTACCTTCGGCCGCTGTTCCGAGTATCAGATTCGCCATCTTTAATGCAGCTGGTTTCACAAGTGTTTCACCAATGGTGTGTGGCTTGCCCTGCTTTGCGATCAGGTAAGCAACTTCGTACGATGCTGTCAGGATCGGTTTGTTAACAGGTACAAATCCAAGAGCAGGCAGAGTGGCCCTTTCATCGAATCTGGCTCTCTTCACCCTGAATTCAGCAAGTGTTGTGTTCTTGTATTCCCCGTCTCCATGCAGCTTCAAGAAGTGTTCCTTTAGTTTTGCCGGTGCAAGACTAGAGTTGCTCAACTTGGCGTTGCAAATCATGCAGATAGGACGCTCACTCCCATCACGTTCCGTGATACATGAGAATCCATGTTGTACATATTCGTCCGACCACTTTCTTCTTTTGCCCGACATAGTTAGTATGGATAAAATATTAAAGAAATCACACGACGTACGACAACAACAGTCACACGTTGACTACTGAGTACGCACTAAATTCCCCGCAGCGCTGATTGGCCAAGCAGTGTAGCATGATCATCTGCAGCCAGTGATGGCCAAGCGGGCCGTGTGTGTCATCACAAATTTACACAATAATTCAAGTGTGTCCGGACCTCCGTGGCGGGGGCTCTGCCGAACCCCTGAGATCGACTCACCGAACCCCTGGGGTTCGATCGAACCCAGGTTAAGAACCACTGCACTAGACAATGTGTGCACTATTTGGCGAGTAATTTTTCACAATGCAAACATATGTTAACTACCTCGCCTGGTATACACTAGGTCGTGGGTTCGATCCCGACTCTAATGCATGTATATTTGGAGTTTGCATGTTCTCCCCGTGGTCGTGTGGATTTTTCTCTGGGTCCTCCGATTTTTCCCTCCGCATTTAGAAACATGCTTTTAGAGTATTTGGCTGCTATAAATTTTCCCGTGATAAGCCACTTCGTTGAACTATCATTTGTGGCCAGGTCGCTTCTGAAAAATAGCTCAGTGGGCCTTACCTGGTAAAATAAATAGTAAAAAGTCCAAGTCCTTATATCTGGAAGCAGTCATCAACTCCATGCAAACTGGCTCGGTTAAATACCCATGAGGAAATCCAGCCACATATTTAGCATTACAGCAAGATTCAGAGCAACACTGGTGGGAGGAGATGGTACCATGATATAATGGTTAGCATTGCATCACTAGGGCGCCAGTGCAATTTGATTTCCTGGCACGGAAACTGAAAATAAGAGTAAGATTTACACCAACTAGATACCTATTTCAAGGCATCAAGTCTGCATTAACCACACATTTGTGGAAAAGCATGTTCCTAAGTCAAAAACTGTCAAAACAAGGCCATAAAGAAGGCTGTCTCTGGTGTAGGTCAATCGGTTTCAAAGACAATGCATATATTATCAGACCATGTTTGTTTGTTTGCATGTTTTTCCAACCGGTATGTGTGGTTCAAGCAGACTTGATGCCTCGAAGAAAATATTTATTTGGTTCATTGCCAGAAATTATAAAGCCTATTCTATTTTTCATACTTTTTATTCCGGCAAAAAGATCCCGTAGAAATGTACACGTGGCTTTTCAAATCCTCTGTCCACCTAGCAGCATAAAAATTGTGTAATACCGCAGTTAGTCAAATGGCCGGTCATGTGTGTGGTGGTTCGGTGTGGGTACTCCCACTTCTTCCTCTTGGCTCGCGTGCCAGAGAAGGCCAAATTACCATCGAGCAGGGTTCTACGGGGCTCCGCCTCATGGATGGTCCCCTGCCAGCAGTGACACGACCAAGCGATTACAGGGCTGCACCTTTACCTTTTATAGGTCGGAGAACTCAATACTTTGTCCCTCCATAACCTAATGGCCTCGTGCCAAAGAAACTTGCATTAATTGAATACAACGGCCAAACACATAATAAAGGTCAAAGTGCCTCGTTGCCCAAATAGGCGGCAGTCTTGTCCTTTGGTGGCCCTTGAGTTAGTGGTAGAAATCCCACATTGTTATGGCAGGGACCTGTCTCTCCCTTAGGCACCTTTCACCTTCCACATAGTGGTACTGTATAAATGTTAACAATCACAGCGGGATGATGAGCCAAGTCGACCTCCAAACAGGACTTCAACTCATAACTCCCCAGTTAACAGGGCACGAAATAAGCGCTCTGCCACAATGCACACAGTATTGCAATTCACTGTTATGAAATGTACCCAATCGAATTGGATGATTGTAACTGGTGGATGCCGCACCTCACAACCTTCGCCAGTCAATCTGGCCACTGGCGTTTTGCAAACTCACCGTAGTGCATGTAGGTGTTTGCCTTGGCTGGGTCGAGGTCTATGGCTTTCAGGAAGAGCCTCTCCGCCTCCACTTTTCGATTCTAAAAGCAGATTAACGTACAGGCAAAACGAAGTGATACATCACCTGACCAGTGATGCATTTTAGTCGTTTCGTGTTTTTAGTATTTAACGCTAGAACAAGCTATTTCGTTTCTGTTCACGTGCTTGGATGGCGGGATAACGTTGAGTCACTAGGATGTGGTTCCTGAATTCAGTTGTACTCTGCTGGCTATAAAAGGTATGGGTATTTACTTAACAAGATTCTCAGCAATTGCTCTCGCAGTCCATCCTCGGGATCCTCATTAACAGGTGGAGAAGCGTGTAGATGGTGTTCGCTGGAGCACATAGTAGGAGGGATAATGAAGTCAAGTCACTCCATGTAAGTGCGTATAAAAAAAAGATGACCACATTATTGGCATTGTCTCTTCATATACACTGCATGAACAGTTGATTGAAAAGTCTCGTATGGTGGGGTAAAATGTGGGTTGTCGAATCTCTTCCAAATCATCTGGCCAGCGTGGAAGAGTAGGCCAAATACCCTATCTAGAGGAGCTCTCCTAGAGGTGCCTCTAGTGGAGGCCCTTCCACCAGCAGTGGTGTGAGCGAGAAATTACAGAGCTGCGCCTTTGTCACCTTTTACTTTTATTAAAATGCAGGATATCAGCTCGAGCTACCTCAATGAAGAATGCTTGTAGCCAGATGGTCTTTGGTAATATTACTAAAATATTAATGAGAACAATTCGCAATGGAATGCCATTTTGATTTAAAAAAAATACTAAAATTGTTCAAATGTCCAAGTCGCCAGCACACATTCATCAATAATTAAATAGATATTATTGAAAACAGGCATAACAGTATTCATTTAAGAAAATAAGTGGTCAAAAGATAATTGCAGTGAAACTTAGCTGAATATACAGTGAGGGAAAAAAGTATTTGATCCCCTGCTGATTTTGTACGTTTGCCCACTGACAAAGAAATGATCGGTCTATAATTTTAATGGTAGGTTTATTTGAACAGTGAGAGACAGAATAACAACAAAAAAATCCAGAAAAACGCATGTCAAAAAATATTATAAATTGATTTGCATTTTAATGAGGGAAATAAGTATTTGACCCCCTCTCAATCAGAAAGATTTCTGGCTCCCAGGTGTCTTTTATACAGGTAACAAGCTGAGATTAGGAATACACTCTTAAAGGGAGTGCTCCTAATCTCAGCTTGTTACCTGTATAAAAGGCACCTGTCCACAGAAGCAATCAATCAATCAGATTCCAAACTCTCCACCATGGCCAAGACCAAAGAGCTCTCCAAGCATGTCAGGGACAAGATTGTAGACCTACACAAGGCTGGAATGGGCTACAAGACCATTGCCAAGCAGCTTGGTGAGAAGGTGACAACAGTTGGTGCGATTATTCGCAAATGGAAGAAACACAAAAGAACTGTCAATCTCCCTCGGCCTGGGGCTCCATGCAAGATCTCACCTCGTGGAGTTGCAATGATCATGAGAACGGTTAGGAATTAGCCCAGAACTACACGGGAGGATCTTGTCAATGATCTCAAGGCAGCTGGGACCATAGTCACCAAGAAAACAAGTGGTAACACACTACGCCGTGAAGGACTGAAATCCTGCAGCGCCCGCAAGGTTCCCCTGCTCAAGAAAGCACATATACATGCCCGTCTGAAGTTTGCCAATGAACATCTGAATGATTCAGAGGAAAACTGGGTGAAAGTGTTGTGGTCAGATGAGAACAAAATGGAACCTCCTTCCTCAGCCAGGGCATTGAAAATGAGTCGTGGATGGGTATTGCAGCATGACAATGACCCAAAACACACGGCCAAGGCAACAAAGGAGTGGCTCAAGAATAAGCACATTAAGGTCCTGGAGTGGCCTAGCCAGTCTCCAGACCTTAATCCCATAGAATATCTGTGGAGGGAGCTGAAGGTTCGAGTTGCCAAACGTCAGCCTCGAAACCTTAATGACTTGGAGAAGATCTGCAAAGAGGAGTGGGACAAAATCCCCCCTGAGATGTGTGCAAACCTGGTGGCCAACTACAAGAAACGTCTGACCGCTGTGATTGCCAACAAGGGTTTTGCCACCAAGTACTAAGTCATGTTTTGCAGAGGGGTCAAATACTTATTTCCCTCATTAAAATGCAAAACAATTAATAACATTTTTGACTTGCGTTTTTCTGGATTTTGTTTTTGTTATTCTGCCTCTCACTGTTCAAATAAACGTTCTGACCAAGTCTCCTGTATATGTGAACGTAATTAACATCGTCCGAATGCACACTGGCATGATATGCATGCATGGATAATAGAACCTGTGCGTCATGGTTGAAATATAATGGTTGTTATTTTACTCTTTAATTACGGGGCTCTTTGAAATCCTTAAAGGTAAAATAATTGCATGAAAGAAAAATATTCGGCGAGTACAATGTGACACCAACCGTTGGGTGATAAAAGGTAATTCAGTCTAAGCAGAAACAAACGGCCTCAGCCCTTGCTGTTGGTATGTTTTAATTTTATTATTTTGTTTGCACAATGAGATGCATTAAAAGGTTAAATTGTGTATTTCATCATAATGAAAAATTAAGTGGCTTTACATAGAAAGTGCACAGTAAACGCTATTTTTATGTTGAAGCATGGTGGTATACAGGTCATGTTGTTCGATCCTGACCCTGACGCCTGTATATTTGGAGTTTGCATGTTCTCCCCATGGTCGTACAGATTTTCATCCTCGTCTTCCGGTTTTTCAATCCACATTTATAAACATGTGTTTAAAGCATTCGGCTGTTTTACATTTCTACATGCCTCATTGAGCTATCATTTGTGGCCAAATTGCTTTTGAAAAAAAGCAATATAGCTCATTGGGCCTTACCTGGTAAAATGAAATGTTTAAGTTATTTTTTTTATAGGTGAAAGCCTACCAAGATAAAACACCTTAACAAATACAAAGGAATACGCGACTGAGATATAATAACGCCTATTTTACCAAACCTTATTCTTGAAAACGTGGGTTTAACAGACCAATTAATAGTGGCATGACAGTAGTTGTGCCTAAAAAAAGATAACAATGCCTCCAGGCAATGGATGGAGAAATAACGGTGTGCAAGACTGCACCCAAATCAACGAATGTAACCTTTAAATGGTTAGGACTTCTATGGTAATCTTAGTTCTATGTTGTGGTTCGCGACTTGGTTTCTATCTGGCATTCTTAAAGAGTATCAGAGAGTGGCCGCGGGTGTTTTTGGAGGAGCGTTGCTTGCACACTGGCAGTACCGTGGCCGAGAGCAGCTTGGCATAGGTGAGGTGAGCAGGCACGTGATCCGGCTTGGACAGCAGAGACTCCTGGTACCAGCGCTCAGCTTCCGCCAGCCGCCCTAGGCGAGTGTGAGCTTCACCTGCAAACACCAAACAGAGATCCACCCCATATCCCCAACACCCCACCAATTAGCCATATAAACCACAGGGGCAACTAATGTGAGCAAGCATCTATTTAGGCTAGCATGGCATGTTTAGGAATACATACCACCAAATACATACCACCACCTTTTTGTTGTGGGATACATAAGCAGAACGCAGAAAGCTAGATTGACTGTTTCGTTTATCCGTAATGATTTCAAAGACCGCACAGGAGGTCAGAACGCTTCTCTTTCTGCTCACTCCATGACGCTGCTCCACTTTAGAATTCTTTCCGACCATCTCTGTTTCCACAAGCTCTTATAACCTTTCTTTATTCAAGAACTATATTAGCGCTTATGTAATATATATTGACAGTGCTGTTTGGTCACTTGATGTTTTGGCTGTTTGGGCCTGTGCTCTTCACATATTAACAACAGAAATTTGTTTAGTCCAGTTGCCCACATCCAACACCATTTACTTAAATAATGCTAGATAATTTTGGTCTGCAAAGCTAATAGGCCAACGGACTAAAGAATATTCATATGTAGAGATACACAACCACACAAAGTACTAATTTGAGGTTGACTTGACCGACAGGAGGCCCAGAAAAGGTTCAAATGCCACGTGTTTCTGATGTGCACGGCCAGGAATTGAACCCAGTGTGCGCAGCACTATGCTATGGCTCAAAAGTCACATTTATATGCAAACTCACAAAGAAAAAAAACTAAACATTTCCTGGCAGCATTTCAACTTTTCTCAATGAAATTTATCCTGGTCAGATAACATCTGATGTCTATATTACACGGATTTTTGACATTTCCAAATTAAGTCAAGTTGTCAAAAAATGTAACTGACCATGATACGAACGCACATTTACTTCCATTTGTTTAACACTGTTAAATCGTTTTGCTTTTTTTTGGGTGCGTGTGGAATTTGCCTTGCAGAAGACAGTGTTGCTTTGGACATTTCCTATAACAATTACTGGGGGAAAAGAAATCCAACCATAGGCAAAAACTGGCTCAGCAGCAAGAGCAATGTCCACCAGGCTATAAAATTGAGCAGCAAAATAAGGACTGTTTGTGCATTGGCACGTAAGTGGGTGGTTTGGTCAACCACTTGCTTAAGCATTTTGTCAAATTATAGCTGGTACTGACACAACACAAAACACTAATTTTATATAGAGAAGGACAAAATTACGCATGAAATACCAAATGCCAATTGAGCATATTAGGTAGTAATATTTAGTTAACTAACGGACATGTGACAACCTTTAATTCACAAAATATATATGCGATGCGCATGTTTTTTGGATACGCACATACGTGTGCATATCTCTGGCACGTAAACACATGTACATGCACGGGTATGCTAACAGGTACAAGCACGCATGCATCTGCAGTTGTAAAGGTAGATGTAAAACCATGTGGAAAAATTGCCGTTTGTCCATACGTCTGATTTGCATTTGCACAATTGTGCATGTGCACCTTGCCATACACATTACCCAGCACGGACTTAAATGCCACAGAAATGTGTTTCCTAAAAGCACTGCATTCTCAGCTTTTAAGTAACAATATTACACGGTCTGTTGGCTTAAATGTAACCACTTTACCGAAGGGGGAGAGTGACTGCGAACGAGGCAAGGCAAAGCCTATAAAGGCGGTGTTTTTTTCAATTTACCGTATCTGGTAATACAAACAATATGTGCTTATTCAGAGCTGGGGAAAAAAAAGGTCACAAATGGGCAACGAGCCGCTGAGGTTAGACACACATGTAAAACACTACAGCGTAAATAGCGGGATCACGTCATGCAGAGATTGAATATTCATGTGTTGGGGCAGTGGGGTGATAAATTATATCATTGGAAACAGAAGTAAACCATTGCACCTGTACCAGCCGTGTGGGCAGCATACACTATATTGAGCCACACACACGCACGCATGCAGGGGCACATGCACTAGAAAGTTTGCGGAGGGTTGTCTTTCGTTTGCAACCCCAGGACATTTGACAGTCGATCTCCGTGGATCCGAGTTGCTCAGCGTGGTTTGTTCTGAGATTGGGGAACCACCAACGTGAGCAACAACAAGTGACCCCTGCTGAGGGAGGTGATGCTTCTTGCACAGCAGTGAACACACTGAAGAGCAATATCATACATCTCAGCTCTTCGTTTCTCCTGCAGGGATTTCACTACTACTGAACTAGACAAGACCCATGGCTATAATTTCTGCACCGAGGTGAACGGTGTGGTTGAGGGTGCTGATACCATTTCTGCAAAGAAATTAGGCAACATGCTGAAGATCCTGAAAAGAGGGGGTATTTTCCAAAACGTTGCCTATTAAACACGTTCCTCTCTTGGGCAGCAATGTTATTGACGGAATGTGCTGAATGTTTGTTATTTGTCCTTGTGCGCCACTGTCAATGTAGCAAAAACAAACTAATAAGACACGGTTACGGTTCTTGGTAATCAGTAGAATCACTCATCACTAATTGGTGGAGCATTATAGGATTATTGTATTGAGCTGGTATGCACAGCTGGCAGATTGCAATGCAAACACTATCAGCTACTGTGCATAGCTACTTATTCTGGGAATTCAGAACAGAAAAATGTACCTCCAACAGAAAAAAATATCTGCCCATAGGACATATTACTGAATGCCATTTTGTTTTCTTTTGTTACTGAAAATGAGGCCTGACATTGAAAGGTTTTTCTGATTTTTCTTATTGTGATTTTTGTCTTATTTACACGTGGAAAGGCCTTATAATTGCTGAGTTCTGATTGAACACCATAAAAAATGCAGCAATGTTAGTTCATAAGACTTGATTTTCAACAGACCTCAATGATCCACCATGGATCTTTAAAATCTACCATACCGCGTGTGGCTAATGGAATTATTGCAAATACATAAGCTGTCCAGCCATATGCCCGTTACCTCTATTGGCTACAGCTGAGATGGAGAATTTGAAAAATCCGTAACGGATCACTGCGCGTGGTACAAATGAATCTGACAGTGCCTTTATGCATGCACGCACGCACACACGGATCTACGTACATGTAGACCAAGATACATTTGTAAAACATTTGTATTCGGCCGGGAGGCATATGCATTATAGCAATTAACACAATCTGAAGGTTGAGTTCATAACCCTGATCGGGATTAACTTGACCCTATATCCCTCTGGGGTTGGTAAAATTACCACCAATTTGTGGGAGGTCAACAAGTGTTCACCAATGAAGGTGAGTATCACCCAGTGATACTTTGAGCAAAGAGATACTTTGACTTTTTATTTTTACGTTAAAGATATTTGCTGACATTTTCCTGATATTCATGTATAGCTTTCATGTGATTCAAAAATCACTTGCTTTTAAGCAAAAGACATTGGAAAATTTTAGAATAAAGACAATTCTGTACCGTCTTTTCTACTTTATATTTGATATTTTAACAATTAAATCCAATTTTGATATTGATAAAGACACTCTCATCTTGTTTATGGAAATCCTACACGAAGTAACCAAGTCCATTAAATAACATCCATCCAGGGGTTAATTTCACAGCCACGAGGAGGCATACTATTCAACTGTGAAGATTAGTCCTTTGCTTTCTAGGCCTAGCTGCCTTGCAAGCCCTCAAAACTGGGCATAAAAAATATCACGTGAATAAACATTTATTGTGCATCAGCAACCACTTTTAAAACCATTAACTTGATAAATCTGAGAAGCTAATTTATCCCAATAAGGCAACTATAATGTCAGCAATACTGTTTTACTTATTTAACATTGGAATAAGCATTCAGCTCATATACTGCATAGTGCAACAAACAAACACTTCAAGTTTTCCTTAAACCAAAAGTGGCCGATATCATTAGATCTCGGAAGCTAGGTGGGCTTGAACCTAGTTGGTCCTTTGATGGTTGATAACCAGGGCTAGCCAGATGTTGTAGGCAGTGCTGTAAGGTGTCCATGAGATGAGAGTGCTGAAGGTCATCCCCTCATATGTATGAGTTTACCCAAGGTATTCTGTACATTGTTGTACATTGTACAACACTCATGAATAGTATTGGCGATATATATATAGGAATGCACCTTTATGAAACATTCCTGAATGTGCTATGAAGGTCTATTGCCTGAAACTTTGCCTGTTTTATATATATGGTGAGGCCACAGTGTTATTGACAAATGTGTTATTGACAAATGTGTCGAGTTGTTGGGTTACTTGTGCTTAAGCACCACTGCCAATGCAGCACCAAACACGTTGTTTGATTTATGAAAATGCAATAGTGAGGCTGTCTTTGGCAAATGTAAGTTTTCATATTTTACCAGGTAAGGTCCACTGAGCTATATAGCTCTTTTTCAGAAGTGGCCTGGCCACAAATGATAGCTCAACCAAGTGGCTTATCACGTGGACATTTATAGCAGCCAAATACTCGAAACGCGCGTTTCTAAATGTGGGAGGGAAAAACTAGAGGACCTGGAGAGAAATCTTCGCAATCACGGGGAAAGAGACACGCAAACTCGGGATCGAACCCACAACCTCCTGTATACCGGGAGAGGTAGTTAACATCTCACAGCCACCGTGGCGCCCTCAGTGAGTCTCTAATGTTTGAAATATACATGAGCTCCATTCATGTAATCCAAGATGGAACCCCCTTAAAGTGCACATTAGAAACATAATGGTGATGGTGCTACGGATGTTGCTTTGTGGGTGAGAGCTATATCGGTTTTCCAGAGAATGCCTGCATGTATTCATTGGTGGGTTCCCCATAACATGCAAATCACACCCATTGCTGCTTTGCTTCTGATGGCTAACAAGGTGAGGTTCAAACGTGATATGGCTGCAAATGGCAAGGCTGGTCCTGCCTATTATAACTCTTACAAAGCGTTTACACTGCTGAGGCTCATGGGATGCGCATTTGGTGGTGGAGAGGAATTGCTGATGTGAAAAAGGTCCATGACTGAACTAATGAACTTGCACGATATAATTTAAACATCTATTAGAAACCACTTATTAGTGTGTCGGAGTTCACCATTGATGATGCTGACATGCTTCTCCGCTAAGTGAGTTCTGAAAAGGTGCTTGCTTCATTGCTTTTGACTGACGGTGCAATTGGAATTTGAGAAAAATATTAAATTACATCTAAGATTAAACAATGTAAAATTTGGAGCATGTGCACACATGAGCTTATTCACAGTTGATAGGCATATAAAATAATGAAAATGTATATATATTATAATTCAGATAATTCAGTTCAAAGCCTAAGGACTAGAAGTTTTTTTCGAGGCAGGACACGGAGCTTTGTTTGCAACGAACACGATAAGTAGCACAACCATTAAGCACACCACTTTCACAGAAAAATGGAAGGTGTGCTTACACGTTACGGGCAGAATCTGTCAACACTTCGGTGAAATGTCAACAGTGAGAGAGGTGTCTTTGAGATCAAAACATCAAACAAGTAGCACCCAGACGTGTACCCGTGCATTGCAATGACGTTGTACACACCCACCCATCATGTTGTACAGGCTCTGCGGTCCAAATTGTCGAGGCATCTTTTTCAGTGCTTCGTTGAAAACCTCAATTGCTTCCTACACACGCACACACGCACACATGTAAAAAAAAAGCATTCAAACACACACACACACACATAGATGTACGTTTTTGTACACACTATTACACATTATTCATCATCGTTAGCCATGATCAATCCACTGTTGGATGAAGGCCTCACCAAGCCGCCACCATCTCCTGCAATCAAATGGTGTTAAAATGTGTCCAGCACCTGTACACGGGCAGTTTTTATTGCTTCATCTCTCAACTAAAAACTGTGTAACTAAACCATTATTCTATTTTACCAGGTAAAGCCCACTGAGCATACATAGCAGCTCTTTTTCAGGAGTGACCTGGCCACAAATAATAGCTCAACGAAGTGGCTTATCACGTGGAAATGTATCGCGGCCAAATAGTCTTAACGCACGTTGATTCTAAACATGGAGGGAAAAATTGGAGGACCCGAAGAAAAAGACACGCGACCACGGGAAGAGAGACCAGCAAACTTAAAATATACAACAGGCGTAGGGGTCGGCATCGCACGCACGAACTCCTGAATACCAAGCCACAATAACACCCCATCTCCTTGGTGGACGTGCTCTCTGGCGTGCTCCATTCCTTGGCTGCCACTCTGTCACTGCCCAAGTCCCCCTGTTCATTTCGCTTACGTCTCTAACCTGTGTATGTTCTGCATACGTGTTCCTCTTTACGTCTCTCAATGTCATTATTATGAACAAAGGAAGCACACGAATTTTCTTCAACTCAATACAGCACCAATGAGCAACATCCATTATGGTATCCCATGCGAGGATGAAACTTGTAAATTAAGGTCCATTGAGTGGATAGTTAAGTGGTGGTCATCCTGAGAAAAGACTGGCCACTGCCAAACAGATATAGACTTTTCACTACAAACTCAGGACTGCTGCCAGTAGAGAAACAGTAGCCCAATGCTCATTTGAGCAAGGGGATGCTTCACAAATGTATTGGTGAGTATCCATACTTGCCAACCCCTTATCAGTGCCTACCTTATTACAGTCCAATTGATACCTTATTGGTCACCTGGACCTTTATAACTCTCAACGTTCATTCTACAAAGTCCCATCACAAGGGAGAAATACAAACAAATAGACAAAAACAATGTTGGCCATATTGAAACAGCTGTACGCCGTATGGACCTGAAAACTCAATTTCCCTGTACAAGAATATGGGTAAACCGTAAGGGTTGACAGGTATAAGTATCTGTAAACAGTATATATACTATGAAAAAATAAGAATAGGATTTACCCTTTTCTGGCTATAAAACAGGAGGTGTTAAGATGCTCAAACACCAAATAGAAATCTTTTGCAAGGAATCATGTCTGCATTAACCACTCGTACTTGTGGTGAAATGCACACAAACATGCTCTGATTATAATATATGCATTGTCTTTGAAACGGATTGGTCTACACCAGAGACAGCTTTATTTAGGGCCTTGTCTCACCAGTGTCAGACCAGAGAACGCCAGAACGCCAGAAGGCGTTCTCATGTTCACCACAGTGTATATACTGTGCGAGCAATTTCCTGTGAAATGGCAGTCTAGCACCACATGAGACCTTAAGCACACAACCGCAATCCCCACGTTTGGACGGGATACACCTCAACACACATTTGCGTCAGCCCATGAGCTCGCTCAAAACAGATATAAAATAACCGAGCTATGGTTAACCTTCATAACAATTAGTAATAAAAAAAAACAACAATAACCCATACTCTTTGGTTATTTGGGTAAAGTCACGTAGGTAGAAAAAATAATAGATCACGACAAGCAATCGCCTGAAGACGATTGCTTGTGTGGTGATCGAAACGTCGTGTTTATTTTTTCTACCTACGTGACTTTACCGAAAGAACCAAAGAGTATGGATTCCTGCAGTCACGAAAGCTGCAAATCAACAATAACCCAATATTGTAAACCCCTTGCATGCCTTCGCCACAGCAAATATATCCACCATATTTATTTTCCATGGCCCCAAACAATGCCGTCACACCAACATTGTATAATCGCGGCCAACTGCACAAACCCGTCAAACCCAACGTGACAACTCCGGCCGGGGATAACTGTTTTGGATTGACATAGAAGAACGACTTACATGAAATTATTCTGTCACAGGCCAGGGTATTGTGTGCTGGTGCATGCTTAGCAAACGGAGATGTGACGCAATATGGAAAATAAAATGCCAACTGTATCTTTTCTAAAATAAAGACTTATCAACTTTGTATTTCTTTTGAGTTAATACCCTTGCAGAAAATATTATAATTACACATCGTGAAGGCATTCAACTGGCATAATTTATATTCTTTGGGTCTTTCGGTAAAGCCACGTAGATAGAAAAATAATAAAAATAATAACAATATCACAACGTTTCTATTGCAACACAAGCAATCGTCATAAGGTGAAAAATATAGCGGGAGAGCTGCTGAGGCAGGAATAATATATGGTGGAAGCGCTGCTAAGGCAGGGAGTTATAAAGGTTTGAGATGGGTGTAGCCAAAGGGTCAGTGGGCGGGGCTAGAGATGAAATTTGCATGTAAATGTAAGATCGGAGAAATCTTGACAAACGAAGCTGTGAGGGTGGCCATTGTATTGTGAGAGATTAGCATGTCAATGTAAGAAATTTGCTTGTAAATATAAGATTGGAGAGAGCTCGGAAAGAGCCACCGCCACATCGAGGGAAGTGAACAACGGTGGCTGTGTTAGTGAATGTAACTCAGAGTCGAAAATAACTGCTAACATAGGCAGGTAGTAAGGGAACATCACAGCCAGTTTTGACCTAAACTGGTTAATAACGTCCTTCCAATGATTGCCCAGTTTGTACCCATCTTCTTGGTTGAAGTTGTGTCTGTGTTTATATATCTGGATGGCTTCATGAACGAATCTCTGCTGATCACCAGTGGGTTTGCAGAGTACCTTCGTCTTGGCAAAATCTATTTAGTGTGTGCCCACAGCGTTCGACTCTCTATCACGTGCTTAGTGAGCTCGTGATGGAGAGAGAAAAAGGAGACTAAATGGATAAGAAGCTGCAGATATTTTGTTCTGTGAATGTAGCATATTGAAGAAACATCAATGCTGTATCTAGGGAATCCCTGATTGATGAGAGCTTCACTCTGTAATGGACAACAATTGCTATATAACATGGAAAAAAAATAAATGGTTGAGTACCAGCAAGCCAAGATTAATGTTAAACATCTTCCACATAAGAGTTCATATTACTAAATGGTTTGCACTATAAAAAAAATACCTCAAAGTGTGTCAATAACACTGCATCGGGTTTTCATTTTAAGATATTTTCAGCCAATATACAGTGAGGGAAAAAAGTATTTGATCCCCTGCTGATTTTGTACATTTGCCCACTGACAAAGAAATTATCAGCCTATAATTTTAATGGTAGGTTTATTTGAACAGTGAGAGAAAGATTAACAACAACAAAATCCAGAAAAACGCATGTCAAAAATGTTATAAATTGATTTGCATTTTAATGAGGGAAATAAGTATTTGACCCCTCTGCACAACATGACTGCGTGGGAGGAAACCAGAGCACCCGGAGTAAATCCAAACACGCAAGGGTGCAACACTTTATCTCCGTACAGATGGAAACAGATAAAGATTAGTCCGCTTGCTTCGATGCCCACGGGAAGGGGATTTCACAAATTCGCGTGGTGATCCACCAACCCCTGCTTCCAGTGCCTGGTTACAGGCTACGTACATCATCACCACCACCACCCGGGTTACAAAGAGTAAGTAGATGTAACTCACCAGGACCAAAACTGGAACTTAAAAGTGGTTAGAAAATTTTACAGTGCTGACCGGTTACTCACCCGAACACTCAATGGTAAACACATTATTTGTTGATGCTGCTGCATTGGCAGCGGTGCACAAGCACAAATAATAAATATAAGAATGCAACACATTTACCAGTAACACTGCCTAAAAACAAGGAGTATATAATAGGCTACGTTTGGGGCAAAAGGTCCTTCTTCTTTACATCATGTCGGGAGGTCGCAGAGTGCTTGCACTCAACAGGCTGCTTTACGCAAATTATTTTTAAACATCAGTGTGACTATGTGCGTTCACGTGAAATTAGGTTTCAGCCATGCTGGTACCTATCACCTACTACTTTTGGCACGAGTATCAATATTACCGAGCGATAATTTAAAGAACGGTATCACTGAATGTTGTTTCTGCTAGGCACTGCACAGAACAAAAGATATTATTTTTAAAATGTCGTGCTCATTGGCTTTAGAATTAAATGTGTTCAAGCATGTAGGGATGATTTCAAGCTTCAATGAATGCACTGCAAAAGGACAAATGAGCAAGCTATAACTCACACTTCCACTGGGAATTGATGCTCCAAAGCATGTCATGTCAGTTTTCTTTAAACATTGTTTTATATTTTTATTATTTAATTGTAAAAAATATTGTTTAATATTTTTATTATTTTATTGTTTCCCTTCTACGTGACTTTACCGAAAGAACCAAGAATATGAATCCCTGCAGTCACGAAAGCTTGAAATCAAAATTGTTTTATTACTTATTAATTACTATGTTTGTTTACCTACGAAATCTTCACTGAGTCTGAAGACACTTTTTCAGGAGGTTCTTGCCAACTTGTAGCGGGGGGGGGGGGGGGGGGGATATGTGTAATCCCATTTGAGTAATTTTTAGGTACATTTTTAGTATTTAAATATTTTGGCCAATCCCAGTTGCAGTGCATGGGTTGTATTTTTGTATTATTTAGCTCGGGGAAGGCATCGGAGAACCTAGTAGAGACCCATGCACAACAGGGGGAGAACGTACAATTCCAAACAGTAAGGCACCTGAGTCACGAATCAAACCCCGACACTTCTGGCTGTGAGGCACAAATGTTACCATTGTGCCACTCTGCCGCCCATGTGAATGACGGAGATGAAAGTGCAGGAGATGAAAGTGCAGAAAACCTCGCTGTTTTCATCTTGACATGCAACACAAGCAGCTGGAATATTCAGGGTTTTATTTGGTACTGC